TCTATAAAATGGGAAGAATGGATGGACAGACTTGTTCAGGGGTTTCAAAATAGGTCAGATTTTGGCTGAAGCCTTGTTTCAAGAAAATTTGATGCAGGAACATCAAAAGGGCACTTTTCTGGCTCTTCTGCATAAACTCTGAGCTTTTGTATAAATTCTTAGTGTGGGGGCCTCCCTGGTGGTAGTGCAAGGGGTTAAGAGGCAACCTATGAAGCTATCCGCAGCTACTGCAGCACGAGTTCAATCCCCAGCCGGGGAGCTACCCACATGGCACAGCAGACCTCTCCTGTCTCGCCCGCTGCTCCCCTCAGCAGTGTATTTCAATCTGCCTGTTCTGTTCCCCACTCTGTCTCTGGTGAATCTTCTCACCCTCTACACCTCTGGCCTGCACCCCAGTTCTTGCATGCATAAACAAATATTTAAAAAAAAATAAAATCTCAGCCTGTTTCACAGAACATCTCAGAGCCTTCCTTTCCTCCTCTGAAAAATGGGACCATCATAGACATGGCCTCAGGGGGTTAAGCAAGGGAGAAATGAAATGAAATGTGCTTGAACCAAGTGCCTGGCGTTGCCCTGATTTCATCCTGAGGCCGCCAGTGTCTCCTGCTGGGGCCTGACTCACTGCCGTGGCTCCAGACTCCAGAGCCTCCCGTGAGGGGTGGAGTTCTGGGAGCCGACTGGGAGCCACTGGGTAATGGCAGGCTCCAGTGGAAGAAGTGCCGTGACGGCCAGCAGGGCCCCAGCCAGGCAGATGGGTGCTTGGCACTCTTGCCAGATGGAGCGGTTGGCTGGCCAAGGCTATCGATCAGTGGGCCTTTCTATAGACCCAAAACATTCCCACTTAAATCTGTCCCACTTCCTGATTATTAATAATAGCGAGATTGGGGTGCTTTAGGGGAATGGGCTGGCGCAGGAGCCAGAAGCTCCAGAGGTCCTCTGTACAAGCATTTTTAGAACCTGGAGGTCTTTTTCCTGCCCCGGGAGCTCAATTTATCGAGCTGAGTCAAATTACTGTACATCCTGACAGAGCCCTTGCAGCCATTGATCAGCCCTGAAACTTTCCTCCACGATGCATCACCACCTTCAAGACAGCATGTTCTCCGCAAGACGCATGATCTGGGAATGACCCCTGGGCCGCGTCCTGCCCACTTGCTGAGTGAGGCCTGACGGGAGGTGGGCAGTCGGCGGGTGGGAGACACGCCTGCACGGGAGGGCGCTCCGACTGGGGCTGCTCTCAATCCGTGCTCGCCCAGTTAGTGAGCCAGACCCTGCTGTCTACACGCAGAGGAGATTCTCAATACTGACTGCAAGAAGTGGCCAAGCGGACCTTGCTCGTGCTTTACATTTCAAATGGAGAATATTAACTTCTCAGCACTAGTTTGGGTTTTATAAACAGTGTGCAGACATCGGCCATTGATGTACACCAAACACTACTACTTAATTATGTGTAATGACGGGTGTGTGTGTGTGTGTGTGTGTTAGTAGTCCAAATTAGCTAAGATTTCTTTGAAAAAAGACAATCTTGGGTCTCCCCGGTGGCACAGCGGTTGAACGTTGGGTTGCAAAGCTGCCCGCAGCCTCTGCAGCACTGGTTCGATCCCCGGCAGCTGGGCAAGGGTCCCACATGGCGCGCAGACCTCTCCTGCCACGCCCTCTACTTCCCTCAGCAGTGTACTTCGTTCCTTCTGCCTGCTCTGCTCCCCGCTCTGGCTCTGGTGAATTCTCTCACCCTCCTGTGCTTCTGACTGTACGCAGTGTTTGTAGAAATAAATAAATAAATCTTAAAAAAAAAAAAAAAAGAAAAAAGACAATCTTACCACTTTTAAAATCACTAGTCCCAAGAATGGGGGCCTTGTTTATGTAAAAGTTCAACAGCTGTGTGATCACTAAGGCTTTTCAAATATTTTTTACTATAAAAGAAGTGCAAACTCATCTCAAATCTGTTGGTAACATCCAAAGGAGCATTAAATTTAAAAGTTACCCTTTACCTCTTTCTCAGCAACTAAACATCCCCTTGAGGAAGCCTCTTGACAGGTCAGTGTCTATCTAGCCATATTCTGTCCGTCTACAAGCACACATACGGAATCATATATTAATAGTAAGTCATATACACCATTTCTCAATTTAGTCACCAAAGAATATCTGAATTGTAGTTGGGTGGGATTCCTAGCAGATATCTAATAAAGAAAGGAAAAGGTAGAGGCTCTCAGTGGAGTTGAACTGGGGTGGGATGGGGGCTTCAATGTTGAGTTGTGAAGAGAAAAGGGGGAGCTTAAAACCCAACTGGGGAACCAAAGAGAAGGAGAGACAGACCAGAGGAGAGGCAGTACCAGCTCTGGGAGCAGGACTCTAAGCCAAGTAGTAGCCTTTATGGCTGTGGATGGCAGAAATGACAATATGGTGCAACAGTGTTTCTCCCAGGGTGAGTAGTCCCTAGTAAGCCTCACCTCCCAGCTCTCGCATGCCCCCCTCTAAATTTAACTGGGGCTGGCCCACCCCCAGAATGCAGAGGAAGTAATGTGAAATTGGTTCCAGGCCCCTTCTTTAGGAAGACTGACACCTGCTAGTTCTTACTACTTGAAATGTTCACTCTTGGGAGCTTGAAGACAGCGCACCATGGAGGGATCCAGCTGCTCAGCTGGAGAATCTACTGGGAGAAAGGCCCCCATGGACAGGCCATGAAGAAGGGAAGAGCCTTTGGTGAAAACTGTTTGAGAGACCATCAGTGAGACCAGCATAAGAATCAATCAGCTGAGCCCAGTGAACCCACCAATGAGAAATAATGTTTTCCTTCTAAGGCCCTGCATGTGGGGACATTTGTCATAGAGAACTAGACACAGAGGTAATAGTTTGTGTTCATTCCAGACTCGGGCACATTCTCGAATAAGGGAACTATGGAGCAAGGCCACCCAATCTAAGACTTTGCATATCTCCTGAGTCTTAAAACTGCTTGTTTCCACGATCAACATTTTATATTTTTAACTTACGTGATTTGGGATTTTCGAGAGAATAGGAAAAGGAAGATTCCAAGTTATTCCTCGTACTATTACCGTAAAGCCCTGGCTGGCCATTGGCCATCTGAAGAGGTCGGACACAGGCCTGCATCTTCTGAAACACAGGTCAGTGTGAAGGAAGAAGAGTGAGCAGACCTTCCTCTGAGGGTGTTTGGTAATTATATCCAAAGGTAAAAGAGAAAAAAGAAAGGTATTGAAAGGTATCAAGACAATCTAGAACATCTCTATAGATTCTGAAGAATATAATCATTTGCAAGCACATTATTTGCTTAACCCCCTAGGATACTGGCTGGCATAATTAGTTAATTCCTGGTAAGGGTGATGTGTGTGTGTGTTCTTTATTAATTGACATTTCCCTTTAACAAGGAACATAAGGACCAGGAAAAATTGTCATTATCAGAGAGTAATGGGTTTTCTTTCGAGAAGCCCATGTGTTTAACGAGGATAGCATCTTTCATCCTGCAGCATTCCAAAGGTATTTAGAAACTTTATGGGGCTTGAAATGGAGCCACCTCTGGCATGAAACCCGGGAACACCTCTTGCCGTTTGAGGACAGGATGTGTGGAATGCCAACCGAAACTACCCAGAGCACGTAATTACCAGTTGGAATTATCAATTACCAACTGGAATAGGTCCAGGCCCCAGGCTCAACTCTTGTGACAAACATCAAGGGCTGTTTAAAGACCACACATGGCTTGACATCTTTGCTTCGGCCTCTTCACCATCTGGGACTCCAGAGCAGATAGTATATTAAATAGATTTAGTCTCCCGGATGGCTTATATCAAGTTTTGTCTTATAGAGAGGTCTTAGAATGAGGCCCCAGAACCCCATCTAACTTGCTTATCACCTGATCTTGGGTGCAAGTGGTGAGGCCTGAGGAGCACGGGGTCTGGTTCTAAAACCCCCAGTATAGGCTCTACTAGCAGCTCTGGGCTGGGAAGTCACCACCTGCAGCCAACCAGGTGGCTGGAATTTTAATATTGGGATGCTGAAGGATGGATGAGACAACCTGAGAGAGAAAAAGCAAAAGCACTAACCATGCATGTGCATAACTCACACCCATGGCTTGTGTGAACACGCTTCTGTGTCCGGGATACCTGGGAGTTGGGGATTTGTGAGTTCAGATATTGGCTGCACAGATGTGCTTTTGAGTTAGATTGTCTGTGTTTTTTTTTTTTTTCTTTTCACTCATTTACTCAACAAAAATATATTGCCAGAGAGCAGAGCAGGATAAACAAGACTCAGCCCTCCAAAGCTTACAGTCACATAATGGGCAAGGGAAGGAATCAGGCAGGTGGATGCAGTGACATAAAAGCATAAAGCAGCGAGTTGCAGGTGAGTTTACCAGTGAGAATGACTGCGCTTAGATCAGAATGTGTTACTATGTATTATGGCATGTTAGGAAAACAACAAAAGTTTGTAAGTGGCAGCAACAAATTTTAGCCATTGAAACACTTTACAGTGAAGCTATACACACCTGAGAGGTGTGTATAGGTGGTGGGAGGTGGAGGCCTACACAAATCCAGAAACGCAAAATCTCTGGCCATAGCAACTCACCCCACCCCTCCCATGACTGTGGGTTCCACATCCAGACCTCAGAGAAGGGCAAGTCTGTTACTGGGCATGAGACTGTGGTAAGGAGCAGGGTCAGATGCTATGTGTGCTTTCTTGTCTGGATCTTAAATGACTTTGGGGCCTCAAGTGAGTTCTAAACCCTCTGAAAAAGTTGCAAATATGAAGTTTCAGCATTTCATCACTGCTGACGTATCTCATTCTGGTTTGGCTTTAGTATATTATGTGGGAGAATGCAGCAAGAGAAACTCATGTTCATTTCATATCATCTACTCTTAGGTACTCACAGAGCAATTTTACATGTGTTGTTTCTTCTGTCTCCCAAGGCCAGCCAGGGAGGGGTCAAGAACCACTTAGAGTTGAATAAACTAGGGGTAAAGTAGGTAATGGAGTTTGTTACATTTTTATTTCAGCTTCCTTCTCTTCTCACCACCGTCTTGGTTGTCAGCCCCTGGATTTTTGGCCATAATCTCTACAACTGAGTCTTTCTCAACTGGGGCTCTTGCAACTGAACCACAGAAGTCAGAACATTTTCCTGACTCTTCCAAGGATGATACATAAATGGAACCACTCTAAATGCAGAAAGAAGTCTCTTCAATAACTAGCACAATTGTAAATACTGAAAGAAGTTAATTACTACAACCAATCTAGGGCCATAAAGACAATATAACTGCAACCATTCTAGATGCAAAAGAAGCCCATTCATCACTTGCAGAGGATGCCTAGGAGAATAATTCTGTTGCAGAAACCTCACCTCTTCCAGAGGCTGCTAGAGTCAAGTTCCAGAAGCAGTGCTTGTTACAAGCCCATCTCCCTTAAAGTTCTGCCACTCCGTGGGTTGTTTCCTTGTCATTCTGTGGGTCTCCTTTTATGCCCCCTTTAAAGCAGTGCCTTCCTATAGTTGATTTCTAGTTCCATCAGTCTGGGCATCCTAGCTCTCTCCCTCCCAGCCGAGATTACAAACAACACTTCAGGGTTTTAACTGTTTACTTGTTCATTATCTGTCCCCCCTCATTTGGCAAGTAAACACCATGAGGAGTAGGGTTAATCTTTCTTGTTCACTCCTGGATCACCCCTATTTAAATCACAGGTGCAGAGTACATTCTCAATAAATACTGGTGGGGTTGATTAATTATAAATTAACAGTAGGATTTATCATGTCCTAGTAAGAACCTTGAATATACAAAATTAAATAGTTATTTATAATGCATGTGTGCACATGTACACACACACATCCATCCCACAAACATCTGTTTCTCGATTTCTTCCTTTTATTCATCAACTTCCTGAACTCAGCACACCCAGAATCTACTCTTCCCCAAAGGCAGGCTCATAAACATTCAGCCCAGCGTATCTCTGCCTGGTAAGATCACGTTACCCTGAAGCCCCTGTCCCCCACCCCATGCTCACACACCCCAGTCTTGCAGGGAGAGCAGCTCTCTGCTGGCTGGAGGCAGGAAGCCTGCAGCTGGAGAGCGGGAAAGGAAACAGCTCCCCTTCGTGCCGCTGAAAGCACGATGGACGCATTTCCCAGATATCGATAACAGCTGCTTGGCTAATAAAATTGACAGTTTGTCACAGTCAGTCTGTGGCTGGAGCAGGAGGAGTGGATCTGAGCATTTGGGAAGAGCACGCACAAGCAGTTTCAGAGGGAACAGGCTGTGGGATAGTGTGGTTTTCCAAGGCAGCAGCCTGCCCAGACACAGCCCCCACCCCGCCAGGCCGGCCCAGCAGGCCCTCGGAGCAGCCTGCTTGTCATGAAACGGGACCATGCAGCGCCCTGAGGAACCAGGCCTGCTCCAGGGCCCGCAGCGCGTGCCGAATGGCTTTATTTTTATTTGTCACATGTGGTACTGCTCTGATTTTGGTCAGTGGTAAAATGTGCATTACTGCCTCCATTCGTGAAGAGCCAAGACATTAGAATGTCTGCAGCGCAGGTGTCTGCGCACCCACTGCACACGTGTACCTGTACGTGGCTTTTCCTCACTGAGCCAACAGGACACCCTCACAGTAGCCAGGGTTCTGGAAACTGTGCCGGTGCTGTGTGCAGTGGTGAACAACAGGTAGGATGCTCTTCTCCTCTCTCGGGAATCACATTCCCACAGAGGGTGTGGACAGAGGGAAACAAGTAAGTGCCTTACATGTAACTTTGTTTTTTTTTTTTAAGATTTTATTTATTTATACAAGAACTGGGGTATAGGTCAGAGGTGTGGGAGGGTGAGAGGATTCACCAGAGACAGAGCGGGGAACAGAACAGGCAGACCGACCGAAAACACTGCTGAGGGGAGTGTCGGGCGAGACAGGAGAGGTCTGCTGTGCCATGGGGGTATCTCCTTGGCAGGCTGGGAATCGAACCCATGCTGGAGAGGCTGCAGACAGCTTTACAGTGCTGCGCTCAACCCACTGCGCTACCAGGGAGGCCCTTAAATGTAACTTTAATTTCAATAAAAACGATAAGCTACTGCTGAGCATGCAAGGAAGGAAAGCAGCAGGGTGGTGAACTGAGAGGACACCCCGGAGCCCCCACTTCAGGTCAGGCAGCCAGACAGCATCTTCTGCAAGGAGAGGGCACTCACCCTGAGCCCTGAAACCTCTTGAGAGGGGCCTTGAAGCCCCTTCCCTGCCTTCCCTGGACCCCCTTCTCAGCCCCATGGGGGCAACTTTCTTAATTCTGGGACTCTTGGCTTGCTCGCTTCTAAAGAGGAGGATAATGGTTCCTACATCAAAGGGACTCTTGAGGAACCAAGAAGTGCCGGTTAAGCCTCGAAGCCTTTGGGTCCAGGCTGAGTGCTTTGAAAGAAGGGTAACAGATCTGTTTTAGAAAGACAGAGCACGAAAGGGATTAACCTTGAGGCTGAAAAGGGGAAAGAATGTGGGAAACAAAAACAGATTCTCTGGTTAAAAAAAAAAAAATCAAGATTAAAAAGAAAAATGAAGAAAACAAAAAAGAACGCATTTCCGAAAAGAGAAAAGGAAAGTGGAAAAGGGGGGACAACATATGAGGGACAATTGGTGGACGGCCTCCATCCTACCAAACAGCCCTGAACAGCTGGCCCGATACTGAACCTGGAGCAAATGAGGAGAAAGGAGAGGGAGAAATAAGCCAGACGGTACATATTGCTTTCCTATGAAGTTTGATTTATTTCCTTGAAAGCTTGATTTATTTTTTTTAAAGATTTATTTATTCATTTATACAAGCACTGGGTACAGTCAGAAGCACGGGAGGTGAGAGAATTCACCAGAGCCAGAGCGGGGAACAGAACAGGCAGAAGGACCGAAGTACACTGCTGAGGGGAGCAGCGGGCGGCAGGAGAGGTCTGCGCGCCATGTGGGACCCTCCTCCGGAGGTCGGGGAGCAGCCGGGGATCGAACCGGTGCTGCAGAGGCTGCGGGCAACTTCGCAACCCAGTGCTCAACCGCTGCGCCACTGGGGAGGTCCCAGCTTGATTTATTCTCGAATTGTCTGGTCAGACCTCAAAAGACCCGGACTTAACAGCTATTGAATATGAAGAAAAGCTGGTAAGTGGCCCCATGTCATACCTCCAAGGTCCTGGGGCCACCTTTATGCAGCCTTGGGGATGGAATCACCCTCTATTTCAAGGCCCTAGGCCTGGGGGACTTGCCTAGAGCTGTTGCCAGAAATTCTCGTTCCAACAAAGAAAAATATTTTGTCTGGCCTTCATATTGTATTTACCCAGCACCTGGGGTGGGGGTGGTGTTAGGAGAAACCTGCTCCAAGCTCCCCTCACCCTCAAGTCCCATATGGAATGGAAGCTGTGTTCCATGCGTGTGGTCCTAAGCTCTCTTTCTTAAACACTGGAGCAGTCACTCACCCCAATGGGTTGTGTGTCACCTTTGCAGGCTCTGTCTTAGCCCCTTGCTGCTTCCCCTCACCTGGATCACAGAACACAAGCCCTACCCACAATGCTGAGCATTTCCTCCTGTTCAACTTCACAACTCTTTTGCATGTATTTCTTCTTTAAATAAAATCACTAGATTCTTGGGGGCCTCCCTGGTGGTACAGGGGTTAAAGACACAGCGCTATCAAACTATCACCAGCCTCTGCAGCATGAGTTTAATCCACTGGCCAGGGAGCAACCCGCATGGCACAGCAGACCTCTCTTGTCTCGCCCGCTGTGCCCCTCAGCAGTGTATTTCAGTAGGTCCACCTGTTCTGCTCCCTGCTCTCTAGTGAATCCTCTTACCCCCTGCACCTCTGGTCTACACCCCAGTTCTTGTATGCATAAATAAATAAATCTTTTTAAAAAATCACTGGATTCTTTTAATGGAGAGAAAAGAAATAGAAATCTGGTTTGCTCTATTGATAGCACCGATACATTTTCAGTCAGTAACTGTGAGACGTAAAGCAAATAAAACAATGAAGAGAAGTTGAAAAGGAACACCAAAAAAATCATGAAAATTCAACTGAGGACCTGTCCTCAATCAAATAAAGAATGAGAATATTTTAACTCTGAACATTTGCTCCACTAGTGAACATATATTAATTTTAAACCCTAAAAAAAACTATATGGAAAAATAATAATATAACAAAGCATAGTGGACTATTCAAACACTATTCTGAATACAAATTTGTAATTTTGCAGATTTCAAAAATATGTGCCAAGTAAAAATGTAAGCAAAGACAGCATGTAAAAAATTAACTATCTATCAAAATAATATAAAAATGTTAAAAATCACTGTAAGAAAAAGATTACCAGCCATTCTCCTTTCATCCTAAATAGACCTATTCCCATTATCTTTTGCAAATTCCTTTTTATATTGTACATTATATATTTACACATTATAATTATAGTGTAAGCTTTATTTTGTGTTCTTTTATTTATATATCTTTCCTCCATCTTCAGAGTGGTAATAAACATCACATCTCAGCCTACTCATCTGTTCCTCAGGGAAATATGCAAGCACCTTCACTCCCTCACTTGGTCAGTATCCCCTTTTTAATCACAAAAGAACTCTTTCCCTTAACACTGATCAGAGTTGTATTATTACTTTTCTGTTTGTGATTCTTTGATTAATATCTCTTTCCTCTGGGAAACTGGTATTTCCTTCATGTATTGTTTTTCACTCTCTGTTATATCCCTAGCTCACGATAAAGTGCTCATTAACCGTTTATTAAATACATGGTACATCACTGCTGCACAATATCTCATCACGTTGATGTTGCAATATTCCTGATACCATATCACTATGTATGGTGTATACTAATTTGCTTCAGAAGTGCTTCACTTGAATAAACTATAGTCAAACACCCAAATTTAGTCACCAAATATAGTCACCAAATATAGTCTAACACCCAAATATAGTCTAACACCTAAATTTTTTAAATGCATATCCTTAAAATACAAAATGTTAGGTCAACTTTTATAAATGTGTAGTGCTCGTTACGTCTGACCACCGAGTATCCCACAAGGATTGGGCCCAGTTAGAAATAATATGTGAATACCATGTAATGAAATTATTTTGAACCATTTAAGATTATAAAATGAATACATGCATAGTAAAGTTTAAAATACTAAAAATTACGAAGTAACTCCATAAAAGACGTAAACACATTCGCAAGATTTCCTTCCAAGCTGGGGTTCTTGTGTGTGCATACAGAGCTAGATCCAATAATAGAAATTCTGGACCATGAGATTTAAATAGCCTCATTCTATGATACCCTCCCTCCACCATTTGCCATTATAGAGTGGCACTTTTCAATTCTTTTGATCATTTTGTTTTAT